AATGACTTGGAGGAGAAATCCTTTTGGCAAGTGTTTCAACAGTGATTAAATGTGCTAGAAGCTGCAGTGCTAACATACCTTCATAAGAAAAGCCTGCTTGAACATTTAACTCTCTAAATCACATGAATATGACGATGACATGAGGTCTTTGTCTTGCACATTCGTATGCTATCTTTTCATATGTGGATTCATAGTACAAATAGAGTTCTAAGTAGGCTTTTGAGGAATACATTCTCGAGATAGAATTTATTGTCTTCTTATTAAGACAAAATGTGTTAAAGATACTTTATACTTTATGTATAAATACTTTATGTATTTCAGCTTAAGTTATGGAAACTGGAAAGCTTGTAAAACTGCATCTTAAAAGCATTCAATTGATTTTACCCATTATTAGTAAAATTATCAGTATTTTCATTTTTATTCACTTTCAATACCAGTATAAACAAGGTTAAGTATTCTAAAATACTTAATTTGAGTTAATTAAAAAGCCTGAAAAAAATAGTTTTGGCCTTTTTTGGTGCGGTGGGAGAGAGCAAGTGGAAGGGAAGGAAGGGGAATGTATCAAGTGGTTTAGTGTGTAAATTGGCAAGACTTGTTTCTAGCTGAAGTTTCTAGCTGTTGATGACCCTTTTGATTTGTGTCCTTCAGTATAGAATGTCAACAAGATCTTAACACAAACCGTAATTGAGAATTAAAGTTCTGCACCTGCAGTACAAAGATCATCATGTAGTAGAATGTCTGTGGTGTGGGGAGCTATTTCTATCGGTGACACGCTAATTACAGCATCCCATTTTAAGAATATTAGGTCTTTGAATGACAAAATGGAAAAGTTATCTGATGACCTACAAAATACACAGTTAATTAATTTGATAAAGCTTTTCGTAATTTAATTTCCTAATGAGTTTCTTAATGGAGGCAGTACTTTACATCTAAATGGGATGTGTACTCTAATAATTTTGAAATTCATGATGCATAGTGCTGACACGATAATAAAAAAAAATTGTAGCTGTTTGGATGCTTTGATATTTTTGTAGAAATGGTAAGTTAAGAAAAAAGTGCATTATGAATATGTGTCTCGTGCTTACACGTTGCTAATGATTGTAATAATGAAGCTGCTATCAGCTTTTAACATTTCATCTATGTACTTGAGTGCCATGCTTCAATAGCAGTAAACCACATCAATTAGTGTAGTCAAATAATGAAATAATTGACTTGGTACACGTGTGTTTTTTAATGAAGCACTGCTGATCTTCTGTTTTACTGATGCCACATAAAAACATATTTTAGGAAGAGGCGTGAAAGCCCAATTTGCACCCTGCATTCACAAGAATTCTGTTTCTTCATGTTGTAATCCACCCTTGCTAATGAATGTGTACTCTTGCAAGTGCGGTTTAAAGAGAGGAGAATCATTTCTATAGGAATAATATGTGTGCATCTATAGCACTGACCAAGTTTAAATAATCTCTTGCTGCTGCTTTCTCAAAGTGTTTTTGATTTTGGATAGGTGAATAGGTGAAGCATGCATACTCATTTATCAAACAGATAATTCTAGCCTTTTGAATTCACTTGTATGTAAGTACGAAGTATTAGGTAAAGGTCTCTTTGGACGCTGGTTTTATTTTTACATGCTTTAGGTACAGCTTTTCATATAGAAGGCAAATTTTAGATGGAAAGAAAAAGTTGAAGGAAATAATATTCCTAAAACAAAAATTACTGTTAGTAAGTACTTTGCAGCAGGAACAAGGAGTATTTGAGACATTTATGATTTTTGTTTCTACTGAGTGTGAAGGAAGAACAATGACACATCCCTGGACTTGGTAGGGGTCAAGGCTGTGAGCAGCATGAACTCTAGCGTGGTGTTTCTTTCAGTGTTCGTGATTGAAGAAGGCTGTACAGTCATGAAAAAAATCTGAGCGTTATGTTCTGGTGATGCCTGCATTACGTGTTTTTATTTCTGTGGTTGCTCAGGTGTCATTTTACCTTCAGTGATGTGGCAAGGAGCCTGTGAGCCATCTAGTGGGAAGTTTCTTTGTAACACTTGACCACTTGAGAAATCTTTTTCTTAGGCCTTTTCCCATTCGGACATCCAGCACCCGCCACTCTGTCTGTAATGCAACTGCCTTCTTCCTTCAATTTATCTGCTGTGATCAGATCTCTGTCAAGTGATGGTGGGAAATGGGGAGCTGTGTTTTACTAAGAATGATGGAAGCAGAACAGACTTAGCTGGATGTCCGTAACTTTTATATATACATGTATAAAACCTGTAAAAGGTCATTGAAATAAACCTGGAAGCAGTGCAGTTAAGGAAGCAAAGGCAGTTAAGTCTGTTTTAGAAGCTGGTCCTGATAGCAGCCTAACTTGAACGAAGAATGTGTATTTATTTAGTACTTCAGTGTTTTTTCAGTGAGGAAATTATGTTTTAAATGCCTGCATAACCTTTTCTGTTCTGCAACACAAGATTTGAATGCATTATAATGAAAATTGTGATGACAGGCTCTTGGATGCCTTTGATATTTTCTCTTTTGAGTTGAGCTAAAACCTTTGAGATGGATCTAAGCTAGTGCAAATTTGTTTTCCATTTTATAGAGTGAATCTATGATAATTCATTAGAAATGACTGTAATCATTTTGATATCACTGCTGGAAGCTAGATGTCCCTTGCATGGTTCATAGTGGTGGGTCCTATGTAGGGAGCTGGATGTTTGCTGCCAAATGTATGTTGACTTGTGAAGCAAATGGGGTGGAGCATCTGGGTTCAATTAAGAGGGTAGATGCAGAGAGTGAGAACTCAGAGAAGACTGATCTCCTCCATATGAGGTTAGAAACATCTTAGTCCAACCCTGAGTGGCCTATGAATGGAGAAGAGTGAGCACCTTGAAGAGCTAAACTCTGGTAGGTTTGCTTTTGGGAAATTGAGCAACACAGGGAGTTGATGATAGGAAGCCATCCACTTTGCTATACATGCAGTTAGAGTTTACACTTTATACTTTCTGATGATGGTAGAGGAGTTGGTCAGATACTAAATAGCCTAACTGACTTGGATCTTCAGGTAGAATTCTCTTTCAGCTTGTGATACTACTCGCCATCTCAGAGGCATTTATCTGCCTTTCTGTGTATCAGGTAAGTTACAGGCAAAGTGTAACGCTGGATTGTCACTGACAGCTTGTAGTACAGAGTGACAGTTTACACTGTTATCTGGCTTTTCAAAGATGGTGCCTTATAACATTTTTCAGGTTTCCCATTGATTTTAGAATGTTTGTATTTCAGGATCTTCCTGAATGGAACAAGAGCAATGCATGTTCCGTATGGCAGATGTTGCAGGAATCTGAGAAACCCGCTCTGCCTTCAGCAGAGTTTCTCAGTCATGCTGGTCGTGCTCAGTATATCCAACCATTTTGATGTTAGTGGGTATACTGAGTATGTGTAGCACAACAGATCAGAATATACAAGAATACATCTGCAAGTGAACATTAGCTGTGCTAATGCATGTGTGGATGCTGGTAATAGATGGAAAACCTTCAGTGGTTAGTGCTACCAGAACTTTAAATGCTAATAGATGTACTAAGATGAGGGCAAAATCTGAGCCTTGGGATCTTTCTGTGCGGTATTTCAGGACAAAAAAGGGTAAGTCTGGGAAAATGATAATGCTGTTACACAGGGACAGTGAAGCCTTGGGAGACAGGGAAGACATTTCTCATGCTTTTATACTTGGTTCATTTATTTTTAAAATGATTTGATTAAAGATATATTTATAGTTTAAGTGCTGTTCTGAAGGGTACATTACGTCTTCAGTGGAGAAGTTGTTTCTCATACATTTTATTACAGCAGAGATTTGGTATATTTACACATACAGTAGTTAAGTCGCATAAGGTGACTACAAAACAAATGGTCCTTAGTTTTCTACAGCGAAGTAGAAATGCCATGGTAGCTGAGTTATATCCAGCATGGTATTGCACTCTGCAGTATTTTATCCTTTATTGTTCTTGCCTACTTCGTATACTGATTTAGGTTGTATCTTTAAGAAAATCACCTGAGTTTCATTGTTAACTCTCATTTTAGCTTCATAGACATTTTGGTCAGACAAAGTGGAATGTGAAATGCTTGCACGCTTAGGTTTTCTGCTCAGCTTACATGAAGAGTGATGATATATACATATGCTTGCCATTTTCTTCGTTGGAATTGTACAGCATGTGACAGTATGAGGAATCCAGCCCTATATACTGTTTCCCTCACTGTTAATTGTTATTGATCCTGACCTGTGGTGTACTTCAAAAAAAAACAAAACAGCCCCATCTGCTTTTTCTTTGATAAGCTTCCCTTTTGGTGACGTCTAGATAGCAAATTTTGTTCTGTTTT